GTGTAGGTGTATTCACCTTATTCATTTATTTGCTTTTAGTAATTTTTACACGTGAGATTCACCAAAAGTAGTGATTTATTTATTCTAAATAATTTTTTTTTAATTTTTTTTTTTTCTCTTCTTTTTTTCCTCATGAGTGTTTTCTTGCATGGTATCACAATATTTGATTGTTGTTAAAAGTTAATGCACTATATTTAGTTTATTTCTTTTGAGGTTTCTTGGATTTGAAGTGATGAATGGGACAATTTTCAACGCTTGAAGACCTAAAAATAGCGTGGACTTGTGGTGGACTATTTGGAATTGATTTAGGTTATTTTGTATTTAAAAGAAGGGGACTAAGTAGCTTGAAGAAAAGGTTTTATATATAGTATTAAAATCTGGTTAGAAAAATTAAACTTTCCCCTTAATGTCATAATGTGCTAGTATGCATCACATACTAGCACATTATGAAAGACTTACCTTAAAACTAAGCCCTCCAGCAGTGTGTTGTCACCACTGATAGGGCTTCCATCGTCACCTGGTCTTCCATCCGGGTTTGCAGGCTTTGGCCATTTGAATGGCCGAACCGCGATGATGTAACTCCTGCACGTAACGTCACCAGCTGCAGAAATATTGAATATCTCCTAAAGAGTGCACATTTAGGAGATATTCATTGTGCCTACAGGTTAGCTTTTTTATAAGGTTATCTGTAGGTACAAGTCACCAAGCGCTATTTACTTCTGCTTTAAACTGCTTTTTAACTAGGCTTATTCCTGGGGGACAGGAAGGCCTGCCCAATTATGACCAATTTAACCCTGGGGGTAACAGGAAGGCCTGCCCAATCATATGACCAATTTCACCAGCTCCTGATCATTACTAGAGACCCAGACTTCAGATATGTAACACTCTTTGACAGCTTGGTCACTGTGCCGGGGAAAAAAAAATCCCAATACGTGTAAATTATTTGTTTACACAGTGAAAGTTATAGCCAGGTTTACAAGCGTAGTGGTGGTCAGGGTATAAGCTGGGATTTTTTTTTTATAGTAGTAATGGTGGCGATCAGCGACTGTGTAACTGCGGCGGGCATTCTGACACTGGGGGGAACTAATTAACTGCCACTGACACTAATACAGCAATCGATGCTAATAAATAGCACTGACACTGTACTAATGATACTGGGCAGGAAGGGGTTAACATCTGGGGTGATCGAAGGGTTTACTGTGTGCTTTTTCACATTATGTGCTGTGTGTGTTTTACAGTGTAAGCACGCTGCTTTGTATTGCTCTGCTATGCAGAGCAATACAAAGCAGTCTGCTGGAGCTGACAGGGGAGAGATCTGTATTGTTTACACACAGACCTCTCCCCCGTCAGTGATACTCGGTGATCGACCGGGTGCCAGCGGGGAGTCACCAGCCGGGACCCGATGATCGACTGCTGAATCCGCCATTGACGGCGCGCACCCCCTCAATCAGATTTGCAGCACAATGAGACAGCAGCGTTTGAACTGGCTTTCATTGATATGTATTGAAAGTGATGTATTGAAGACTATTGATTTTGCAGTAACAATGAAACAATTTTTCATGAAAATATTTGCAAAGTTTCTGTTAATAGATAAAGATATTTATAATGATTTTCTTTTATGCAAATATAATATGAATAGTAAGGACTAATAAAATAACTTTCTGTAAAGAAAACTTGCAAAAGTTTGTGCTAAATACTTTATTAAAAATAACAAATTCACAGTAATTCTCTTGAACCATCTTTATTTGTATAGTACAACAACATATTGTGTATTGGCTGACATTTTTGTTCTCCAAAACCTATTATATTGTTTCGATATTTGTTTTGATTAGTCCTTGATTTATGGTATGTTTTCCTATTGTTTTAAAATCAATTTTATTGAAAGTACTCAAGAAATATATGTTCAAATCTATCAACTATTTATACTTTATTTTTGAGAGTAGGTGAATAAATTGGGGTAGGCTCGTAGGGGTCCCAGTGCATTACTTTGCCCAGGGGACCATGATGCTAAAAAGATGGCCCTGAGTCAAGGGCGAACTGACAACTCATGGGGCCCCTGGGCAATAGGGGATCATGGGGCCCCTGTGTCCTTGCCCAAACTCAAAAAAGCCTATGAAAAAGGTACCATGGGCATCTCATGGGGCCCCCTACTGACCCCGGGCCCTCGGGCAGTGCCCGAGTTTCCAAATGGTCAGTCCGCTCCTGCCCTGAGTTCTCTCCCAGATAGTGGTGTACCTCAGTGTGCCCAATAGCAGGGATGTCCATATCCTGGGTTGTGAAGGAAGGAAAGACTCTAAATGCATCACTTCTTATGGTTCTTACCTTCCCACTAGCCAGGCTGGACTGCCCAGAACTAAGCTCCATATATGATCCTGCCAGGTGGAAATGTACTCATTTTCCTTCCTGGAAAGATTTTTAACTACTTCAACATCGGGCACTTTCACCCCTTTTCCTGCCGAGGCCAATTTTTGGCTTTCAGCACGGTCGCACTTTGAAAGACAATTGTGCTTTTATACAGCACTATACCCAAATTCCATTTTTATATTTTTTTTCACACAAATAGAGTTTTCTTTTGGTTGTATTTCATCACCACTGTTTTTTTTTTTGCTAAATAAAACCGAACATTCTGAAAACATTTTAATATAAATATAAATAATTGTTCTTCATAAATTCAGGACAAAATGTATTTTGCTATATTTCTTTGGTGAGAATAACCAAAATCAGTGTATATTATTTAGTCTGTAGGAAAGCTATCGAGTCCACAAAATATGGTATATATCTATAAATCGATCAATCCTGATGTACTGCCTATCCCATATCCCAAATGCCAGGATCATACAAATATCCCCCAAATAACCCCTTTTTGGAAAGTAGACAGTCAGGTATTTAGTAAGAGACATGGAAAGTTTTTTGAAGTTATACTTTTTTGTCATAATGTTTTGGAAAATGAAAAAATTGAAAACAAAATTCACAAGTTTTTTCCACATACTGTCACCAGTGCAGTACAGTGTCATTATAAAGCTGCTGTGGTGGTGATCGGTATACTGACTGATGGCAATACATAACATTTTTTTTTTTTTTTTTTTTTATTGCTTTTTTTTTCTTTTACAATTTTTTTTAACACACTGACCAGAGCAATATAACATTGTACTACTCTGGGGAAGTGATCAAGATTTTTTTTTTTTACACATTATGATTGCTTATAGTAGTGAATTTCACTGATATAAGCAAGCATTTTACTGAATGAAATTGATTCATTCAGTATGTATTGTTGTGATTAGCAGTGATTGGCCACAGCTAATCACATGGTACAGTGGGCCATGATTGGCCCTGTCTGTACCATGTGATCACTTGTGACCAATCACAGCTAGCAACACAATTGTATACATCGAATGGAAGCCATTCATTGTTTACAACTGTCATGTAATCTGCTGTGATTAGTCACAGCAATCACATGGCCAGTACAGTCATCTGTCATCAACTGCATTCGGTGGACACAGCCAGTGACAGATCACACCCGCGAGGCACATTCTGGGGTGACGTCATATGACGTCCACCCAGAATGAGGACAGTCCCACCATCCATCATTTTGAAATAAGCTGGGTGGGAAGTGTTTAAAGGAGCAACAAAGTAACCCCTGCCTATCTGTAATTTTAAAGAGATTGAAAATTACTCATTAAATCAGAGTTCCAGTTGAATAAAAAAAATAATAAAAGTCAGCAGCTACAAAATCTGTAGCTCCTGACTTTTAAAATACAGACACTTACCTGTCCCTCGGTGCAGCGGTGTCCTCACCACTGCTGGTTTCACCGGTCATCTTCTCTCCCTGGCGCCGGCATCTTCAGTGTGAGCACCCGGTTGTGACAGCTTGCAGCTTCACAGATGGGTGTCCACTGCGCATGCGCTTTGTGAATGGTCCTGTAGTTTTCTGGGACCTGTCACGTGTCGCAGAAGACTACGGGGAGGGAAGGGGGTGGACAACTTCTGCCTCCGATCGCCTTGGGACGACGTGGGAGCGGGCATCTGTCAAATTTGGGTACCCCCCAATAACCAAAGATGCTAATTCTTAATGGGAAGTGGGGAACAAAGCCTTAAAGTGGAACTTCCCCTTTTGGGTGGAGCTCCGCTTTAATAAATTCCAGCATATTAAAGCTTGTTTAAAATTTTAGTGATAATGTTTCCATTAAAATGGTTGTAAACCTCAGACATGAAATATGAACAAAGCATATTCTATAGAATATGCATAGATCTAAAGGTAACAAAAAAAAAACAAAAAAAAAAAACAAAACATGTATAAAAAAAAAAAAAACAGGCCGACTCAATGAACCACTTGGTCTTTTTTGTGCCGTCACTTTTTCTATGTTTCTATTTCTCTACATTGTGTACTTGTCTCAATCCAGGGCACTAATGTCATTTTTGCCTGCTGCTTCATTCCTCTGCTATCTGTATGAGCAAACTTTTCCTGACACCAGTGTGTGTGTGTGTGTGTGTGGGGGGGGGGGGGGGGGGGTCTCCAATCAGCTCTTAAAACTCTCCTCGCTAAGCTCTGCAGTGTGTTATTCCAGCTCTCTCTCCCCCTTTTTTTTAAAAAATCTCAGACAAGCTTTATAAATTGTGCACTTTGAAGGGCTGTAGAGAAGACTGCAGATAAACAGGGACAACTTATATAGGAGGATTTTTTTCATCTCTCTGTATCGCCTGAGGGCAGTCACTTCACTAGGTATATGGAAGGGTTTACAACCACTTTAAATTTGGAAGATGTTATATTTTGAAATAATTATTTTCACTATTTTTTTTTTTTTTTTTTTTTAAACATGTCAAACTTTTCATAACAGGAACTCCCTGGTTCCCCATGTCAAGATTTTTAAAGACAATGGGATTCATGTCATATACATATAAATAAACTCTATACATAAAAAAGCAAAATACAAACATAATTAGGCAAATTGTTTGTTTCATTTTTGGTGTTTGGTACATAGAAATGGAATCTTCACACATACTCAGTCTCTTGGGTTGGATGAGTCAGAACTTCTATCTGAAGCTGGAAAAAGAGTGAAGTTATTCAGAGGGCAGGAAAGTGATGTTAGAAATAATTATTGTATATGGTGTATGATCTCACTGCATACATCATATAGAAACAACACACACACTATGCACAGTGCATTTGCCCCAGTAGCTGCTAATAGGTAGTGGTTGGATATTTCTACTGGTAAATTTTTTTTATTTTTTTATCCACGGAGGTGTGAAAAAACTAAAACCTGTAAGTGAACACAAACGTGCAAGTGCAAAACACCAACACAAAGAAGTGCACTTAGGGGGTGTGCTTTTGTCCCCCGAGCGCAAGGCATTTCTACTGGTATAAAAACATAGATAACAGCAGTGTTACATGTACAATGTATTAACCACTTGAGCTCCTGAGGATTTACCCCCCTTAATGACCAGGCCTCTTTTTGCTACTCGGCGCTGCACTAATTCAACCGATAATTGCGCGGTCATGCAATGCTACACCCAAACGAAATTTACGCCCTTTTTTTCTTTTGGTGTAATTTGATCATCTGTGTGCTTTTTATTTTTCACGCTATAAACAAAAAAAGACCCAAAATTTTGAAGAAAAACAATATTTTTTAATTTTCAGCTATAAAAAATATATAGTAAGTTCAAAGTTGGTTATAAATTTAGGCCAAAATGTATTCTGCTACATGTTTTTGGTAAAAAAAATCCCAATAAGTGTATATTGATTGCTTTGTGTGGAAGTTATAGCGTCTACAAACTATGGTATAAATACTGCAATTTACTCCATTTTTCTGCTATACAGCGCTGCGCTAGTTTAACGGACAATTACGCAGTCATGCAATATGGTACATAAATGAAATTTACATCCTTTTTTTCCCCACAAATTGAGCTTTCTTTCGGTGGTATTTGATCGCCTGTGCGGTTTTTATTTTTTGCGCTATAAAAAAAAGGCTGACAATTTTGAGGAAAAAAAAACAATATTTTGGACTTTTTGCTATAAAACATGTCCAGTAAAAAAAAATGCAAAAATCAAATTTAGTCATAAATTTCTGCCAAAATACATTCTGCGACATGTCTTTGCTAAAAAAAAACCCAATATGTGTAAATTAATTGGTTTACGTGAAAGTTATAGCGTTTACAAATGGCGGGAAAGATACTGGGATTTTTAATTTTTTTTATACTAATAATGGCAGCGATCAGGGACTTATGGCGGCGATCAGCGACTTATGGCGGGACTGCGGGACTGTGGCGGACATTTTGACACTGGGGTGGAACTGACTTGGGGTCACTGACATCCCCAGTGACACCAATACAGCGATCAGTGAAAAAAAACCCCACTGATACTGTACTAATGTACTGGGGAGGAAGGGGTTAACATATTTAGAGTTTACTGTGTAAGGGGAGTGTTTTACTAGGGGGCGGGGGTGTGTACTGGACGGGGGGAGGGGAGGGGGGAGCTGATCAAGGGAGAGAAATTCTTCTCTCCCTCTGCAGCTTGTCCGCGAACTGTCACAGAGCAGGCTGTGTGTAAACAATGCAGCTCTGCTCTGTGTCAGTGATAACAGCTCATCGCGGGAAAACGGCCGGTAAAAACCGGCCGTGACCCGGCGACTGACACCCGCTGCGGACACCCGCGGGACAGGCAGGGCGGGCGCGCGCCTCACGCGCGCGCCCTACCTGTTTTGCGGAGGTCCGTTTTAAAATGTCGTTTTGCCTACGAGTGCCGCCCTGCCGCCGTTTATAGGCATGTGGTTAATACTATCTCCTGGAATTCTCATTTCCTCCAGTCATACTAATACACACCACAATTTATGGAGTCTGTGTATAAAAAATATAACACGATTATCACCTATGATCCTCAGCTCCATCTAGTGGTCATAATACATTATTTTCCCAAAATACATCAATAAAAAACACTGCATTGTGGTCATTGGATGGAGTTGACAATCAGAGGAGATAATGATATGACAAACAATATGGCGGTTACTAGTTATGCATGTGCAAATAATAAAGACATCTACATGGCAATTTTTTTAACTGCTTGACACCGGCGTCACACAAATATGCGGCCTTACAGAACTGGGCTTTTTTAAGGGGGCAGCATATTTGCGTACCTGTCTTTGTGCTGGGAGCGCACCGCACAGCGCACACCTAGCACAAACACCGGAGTGTCATTTAGAGCCCCGGGTCCCGTTTTAATGATCGGGACCCGGAACTCCCGATTCCAGGTCACATGATCGCTGTGATAGCCTCTGATTGGCTATCACAGTGATCAGTCACTGTGAAGCCCGCCCCTCTTGTTTTTTTTTTCTCTCTGAATGGAGGAGAGAGATTCATTGTATCTCTCTCTCTCCTTTCAGAGAGAGAGAAAAAAAAACAACTGTTTGTAAAAATAAATAAAATAAAAATATAAAAAAAATAAAATAAAAAATACCTAGATCAAGGTTTGATCTAGTTCAGTGCCAGGGATAGTGTTTGGGTCAAGGTCAGGGTCAAAGGTCAAGATTTTAAAATTTCAGTGTGTTCTGGGTAAAAAAAAAAAAAAAAAAAACCTAATGCGCACTATTGTTTCTGGGCTGTACCACGGGTACAAACAACAAATAACATACACATATATGGTATCGCTGCAATCGTCAAGAGCTGGGGAATGTATTTTGGATTGTTTTTTGGTGGTAGGTTATGGTAGTAACAAGAAACAGCTAAATAAAAAAAAAAAAAGGTTTTCCTTTGATAAAAAAAATCAGGAGATATCCATTACCATTTACCACCAAATAAAAGCCCAATTTGTCCTGAAAAAAATGCAGTATAATCCACCTGGATGTACAAAGTAGTTGTGATGATATGTACAATTTTACTAACTGTCAAGGTCCTACCTTTTCCCTGAGGTTATGTTACTCCATGTGCTGGCGTCCATCTTGGATTCTGCTGTGCATGGTGGGAATCCTTTTATGCCTTCAGGTCTCTGAGGTCCACCCCCAGAGGGGCGTGGCTGATGACATATAAGCCTGTGGCCCGCACATGCTCTCTTTGAACTTGTGTCTTTGTCTTTGTGTCGCTATTACTCTGTTCTGACTCTCCTGGTATCTGATTTGGCTTGTGACTTGACTATTCTTTGTATTCTCCTTTGATCTGACCCTCTGTTGCTGAACCCGGCTCGTGACCTGTGATTCTCGTCTGCTGTCCTGTACTGTTTTGTCCTGTTGTATGTTGACCCCGGCCTGTCTGACTACTCTTTTGTCTCTTCCACCAGCTACACGCCATTGGCGGCGGCCATTACCGCAGCTGAGGTGTCTGCAGCTGAGGTGTCTCGGGGGCCGCGACCTGGTTCCTGGCTGCGTCAAGTCCATCCCCATCATCAGGGGCCCTGGTGAAGGGCAGCCTGGGACTTAGACTCCGCGCCCTGAGGGGCTTCGGTCTGTGGGTGGTGGTTGTCGTCAGCCAGTGCGTTACATTGTTAGGCCTGCCTGTCCGTTCCTCGGCTCCTGCCCTGACACTAACGTTGTAACATTTTAGGTACGCTTTACGATTAGGTTTACCCTGAGGAATGAAGGGGTTAAATAAACAAACCTCTAAAATAACACAAGGGATAGGTCATGATGGAATACTTACTACTGGTGGTCTTGTAGCCATTCTTCCTCTCTAAAATAAATAAGAGATGGAATTGGAAACATGAAGATAAAAACTACAAGTTCATGAGGTTGTTAATATTTTATAGTATGCTAATATAAAGTGGCAGTTTCTGGCCACCACAATTTGTTTACTATGTGATTTTGATTTCTCCTCTGTCCTCCCTTCCTGCTTAGTGCTTGTTAATTTAGTCCTAGTTAGACCTTCCTCATTTCTTCCATGTTCCATCAGTGTTAGTATTTTGCAAAGACTGGGCTTAGGAAAGTCATTGTCATTTTACAATTCAAACAGCTGGAAAAACATCCTCTGTAGTGTAATTAGCTGAAGTAAAATTTAATTTGGTACAACTTCCGTGTCTTATTGAAGAGTTATACTGTCTCTGGATGATGCCAAGTCAGCAGGTGACCACCTGTCCAGACTGACTGTGTCGAAGAAGTTATGTCAGTGCATAACGTGGCATTTGAAACAGAACTACTGTAGATAGCAATAAAACCTAAGGCTGGCCATACACTATACAATTTTCTTGTACAATTTCTGTACAATCTCCTTTAGATTTGTCTTCAGCTAAATCATGCTTGCCTGATAGCATTCAAATTGAATTATGTTTAGGCTTGACATCATATTATATGGTTTTTGGTAAATCTAAAGGAACATGGCAGGGAATTGTATAACGTATGGCCAGCTTAAAGTGTTACTAAACCCACAACAGTAAAATCAGTCTGTACATGCAATAAAGTATGCTTGATATACTCACTGTGAAACCTAAGGGGTTAATCCTCTGCATTGTGTAAAAAGGCTGTTTGATCCTGTCTTCTCTGACCCTCCCCTTCTTCCAGTGTCCCCCTCTTATATTCTGATAAGACTTATCGTGTGACGTCACTCTGCGCATGCTCAGTGTGGTATGTATTGTTAGAGAAGTTTTTTGTTTCTTGGGAGAGTGTGTGATCAGCACAGGGCCAATCAGCGCTGTCCAGACAGAAGTCAGAGGTTCTACATCCTCCTATAGGAGAATGAAAACTCCACCTACAAGCTCTAGCCAGTGCTCTGCTGGACACTGATAGAAGTCACAAGACTGCTATATACTGCTGATGAGAAAAGGTATTTAGCAGTTTATATTTACTAAAATAATGGCATTTCCATGTTGTGTGTACTGTGGGACAGCAGCTATAGTGAATGCAGGGAGACCAGATATAGGAATGACCAGATATAGTGAATGCAAGGTCTAGGGCAGGGTTTAGTAATACTTTAACAGGGCTTTTAATTCCTTCCTACTTTCTACAACTAAAAACGTTTTGGCTATAGATATACTTTTATCTGCCTCATCTACAACTATATTTAACTGTGTAAATAAACCTTTAGTTGGACAGTGGAATCATAGTTTTCAACCTAATGAAAAAAAAATTGCTATCAAGCATTTGTAGATAGTAAATGTAAATACTGTTATTAAGAACGTTAGATTTAAGCCTCGTATACACGATCAGAATATCGGATGAATGATTGTCCATTTTTTTCTGCATGCTAGTGTCATATCAAAAGTGAAGAGGCTACTAAAGTTATGAAAATTCTTGAACGACGAATAAAAATTCTGAAGAATGTAATGTATTTGTATTGTATTTTCGGACGACTACTGTACTGGATAAACGAAAATCGTTCGATCCTGTATTGTACGATAAAAATTTTTGTGCTTTTTCGGAGGATTGCTGTGTACTAATGATCGGATTATTGTACGATTGGTTAAAAAGCTGCATTTTCCGTATGGTATTCTAATTGTATATACAAAGCATGGACAATTAATTGACCATAAAAGATAGACGGAAAGTAAAAGAACAACATAAAGAGTTTTTGCTGTGTTGAAATTTTCTTTTGCTCAAAAAAAGAACTAGGACATGTCATCAAAATTCACCATTTCAACTAAATGCTTTGGAGTCATGGAGGAAGGGAAAGTTCTGGTCGTTTTTAGTAGTTTTGAAGGACACAATAAAATGGCTCTTGCCTGGTTTACAGAAGCTCTTGAGCCAAAATTAAGTCCTTCATTAGCAGGAAACATTAGACAGTGAGGAGCAGAGATGGACCTATTTTCACCTTCTTTGCTGATGTTATTTTAAGGAACAGAAATGGACACTATAGGTATTACGTAATACTATCACCTGATTTTCTGAGAAGCTGATGAACAAATGGTACAGAAGAGTTGAGGTAGTCCTTTCCTACTGTTAATGGACAGTATCTTCACCTCACTTGCTGTGTCCATAGATGATTCATTCAGGAATGGAGCAGTGGCTTTCATATAGTGCCAAGTCTCCATCTTAATCACTATACTCTGGACCAACCCTAACCACCCAAGAAGGTTTTAACCATAGCATTTAGGATGGGGAATACCGACACCTTAGGATTTTGTAGATGGCATTGAACAGAAATTGAATGGCAGTTGGCAGCAGGAAAGAGGAATTCATCTGCACTACCCTAGGAAGACCTAGCCCACAGTAGCCACTAAAAAAATATATATATTAGTTCATTGGCAGCAGGCAAAAAGACAGGAAATAGCTGGATAGACTGGCACAGGCAGAAGTGTTCCAGTTATTCTGGAAGAACAAACCACAAACTGGATCAATTAGAATATTTTTTTCATATTTCACACAATTTCCACAAGATAGACAGAAGTAGCACCTGGCACAGCACCTATATGGATGATCAGAAAAATACTGGTGTGCAATAGTTACTGTATGTGGATAACAGCATTTAGTTGTGGCAAGATGTGAACAATAACTGGGCGATATTTCCAATGTAACAATCAAGCAATCAAGCAATCGTTATACTATGTGGATGCCAAATGAGCACTCATTACAGTCATTACAATATGATAAAAAAGGGGCACTTATTACAATACATGGCTGACAAGTGAGCATTCATTACAATATGTGATTAAAAAAAGGAGAACTTATTACAATACATGGCTGACAAGTGGGCATTCATTACAATATTTAGTGACCAACTGGCATTTATTACAATACTTGGCTGACAAGTGGGCACTCATTGCAATATTGGACAACCAACTGGGATTTATAGGGCAACACAGTGGCTAAATGGTTACGACTTCCGCCTGGCAGTACTAGGGTTGTTGGTTCAAATCCCAGCCAGGGCACCTGCTGCCTGGAGTTTGCATGTCCTCTCTGTGCCTGTGTGGGTTTCCTCCCACACTCCAAAGACATGCTGGTAGGTGAATTGGCTCCTGTCTAAATTGTCCCTAGTATGTGTATGTATGAATGTGAGTTAGGGACCTTAGATTGTACACCCCTTGAGGGTTAGGGACTGATGTGAATGTACAATATATATGTAAAGCACTGCATAAATGGACAGCACTATATAAGTACCTGAAATAAATATAAATAATTACAATACACGGCTAACAAGTGGGCACTCATTACAATGTTGGACAACCAACCAGCATTTATTACAATACATGTTTGACACAATATGGGCAACTCGTTTAATACAATGTTGGGCACTCGTTACAATATTGGACAACCAACTGGCATTTATTACAATATTTGGCTGACAAGTGGGCACTTTACAATATTGAACAATGGCATTTTTTACTGACAAGTGGGCACTCATTACAATTATTGGACAACCAACCGGCATTTATTTCAATATTTGGCTGACAAATAGGCACTCAGTACAATGTTGGACAACCAACTGGCACCTATTACAATACTTGGATGACACGTGGGCACTCATTACAATATTGGACAACCAACTGGAACTTATTACAATACTTGGCTGACAAGTGGGCATTTGTTACAATATTTGACAACCAACTGGTATTTGTTACAATACTTGATCAACATAAAGGCACTTCTTACAATGCCCAGGCAACAAACAGGCAATCTTTACAATCCATGTGACATGAGAGTACCACTGACAATACTTGGAGCCTAGTGAACGAAGCCAGTAACTATACAAAATAAGGGGAGAAGGATGGCCATTCACTGATCCATGGCTAGGAGTGGCTTATATGGTATCATATGGCTTGAAAATTGAAAAATATTTAAACCCAACATTTTATATTCTTGATATGTGCCTGCTGTACCATAAACTCGTATTTTGTATTGCTTCCTTTGTGTGAAATCCCTGGTGTTCCTGCAAGTCCCTTTGCTTTCCTATTAAAAACGGACCACACTAGGCACAAGAGCACAGCGTGGTCAGTTCTCTAGCTGTGCTGAGATCTCACCCTTCTCTCCTCCAATGATCAGACTTGTGCTGACACCCCTCCTGCACAGCCATTCACTGGGAAGACCAGTGTGCTGCTGTGTCTCCTCCCTGAGCTTCTTATACAGCTGAGAACAGAGAGAAGATGATCACTTATTAAAGAAAGAGAAAAAACAAGTTTGACAAAATTTGTCCCCAGTAGACAGTAAGGCCTGAGATAATCAGTTCTAAAAGCAAAGATTGTTCAGTTCTAACACTTACTCTTGTACAGAAATACTCCACAAATAACAGCTACAGCAACAAGAAGACAGATGATGGCAGGAACAATCACAATGGTCCATGGTCTCATGTCGGGTTCTGAAAGAAAAAGGCAATGTAAGGAAAAGATCATAAGACACCTACAGACATTCTAATCAAATGATAACATGCTCATTACTGGAAAATTTGATTGATATGCTATTAGCCTAAGTTCACAAGAACTTGTGCTGCTCTTTAGCAAATGTACGGGGGGGGGGGGGGGGCATTTTTAAAGGCTAAGTTTACCTTTTGAAAAAAAAATATAAATGTATATCATTTAGCAGGTGAAAAAAAGTGCATGTAAAGTGGAGCTCCACCCAAAAGGGGAAGTTCTGCTTTAAAGGTTGGTCCCCCACTCCCCATTAGGAATTGGCGCCTTTGGGGAGCAGGGGAACGGGAACCCGAATTTGACAAGTACCCACTTCCGCTGTGAATGCCTAGGCGATCGGAAACGGAAGTTGCCCTTCTACACTCCCTTCCCGAAGTCTAGTGGGAAACGTGACAGGTCCCAGAAGACAACGGGGCCATTTAGGGGCTATTTGCGCATGTGCAGTGGGCACCCGGCTGTGAAGCCACAAGCTGGCACAGCCTGGTGCACACACTGAAGATGCCGGCATCTGGAATACAGGACGGCCAGTGAAATGGGCTTGCGGTGGGGGCAACGGGGATCGTGGGACAGGTGAGTGGCTGTTTTTTAAAAGTCAGCAGCTACAGTTTTTGTAGCTGCTGACTTTTATTTTTTTTACAGAGTGAGTAGAACTCCGCTTTAACTTTTTCTTCTTAGAAGCCTGCAGAGCACTGCACTTGCCATCATTGGATCATGGGTGCACTATCAGGCTCCTGCCTAGAACTCTCTGCCCATACCTCTGTACAGGCAGATGGTTCCTGAGCTGTAGGCAGTGTGACTGAAGTATGGGCATGCTGATCGGTGCGCTCGCAGTTCAAACTACAAGTCCATCTGTCAGGGTGACAGTGGGTGTGGGGAGAAGGACCCCTGCACGTTGTCACAGTGTGGGATGGAGGGCTGAGCAGGGGGGGCGCAGCCTGGTAAGATGTTACACCCTAAATATGGGTATAACATGTAACACGTTACTAAAGGTGAGCTTAGCCTTTAATGGCTCCTCCAAGCATTGGCAAAACACACAAATTTTTGTGCGCAAAACCACAAAAAATGGGTCAAGGACTTTTTTTTTCCCTGTGTTTCTGCAGGTAGGGCAGCCCACTGAAGTTAATGAGCTGTGTTACACACAGAACGCAGCCCCCGGTGATGTAAACCTAAGAACACACAGGACCCTTCCACCATCAACTTTATGTAAACTGATTTAAATGTAAGTCAAATCCAGGCAAGCAGTCATACACTGTATATGCAGCAGTGCACCTCATATAAAAAGTTTTATATCTGCCTGGAGTTCACCTTCAAAATGGTTAACAATGTAATTTAAATTGCCATCCATTTATAATCAATAGATAACAATATGTGATTAGTAGGGCAGAAATCATGATAAGTATTTACGGACAATAATAAAAATTATATATAATAAATAATTATAAATGATAAATAATTAAGTTTGATAAAAATTAAATGCATGCCATAGAAAGGTATAATCATGCCCCATAGGCTTTCCTCCACAAATGGATACATAAGCTCTGATACTTATAGTTGTATACTGGTCATATGTAAAATGTAGTAACAGTTGCCAGTACAGAGCATCCATAGGACGTATAAATTTGCTGCAACATAGATGATGCAAAAAGATGGATGATCAAACTTGAGAGATTTTCCCATGATATAACTACAATGTCTCCAGACGATGCTAATTCCCATCTGTAAAAAAAAAGTTGAGATCAAGATATATTATAGAAGTGTACAACTAATGGGGGATATAGCATACCCTGAATGCAAAATAGAATGCAAACAGAATGCAAATTAAAATGAAAAACTGTAGCATTTTATTTGACTAGTTCCCATCCAGGCTAATTTTGACATTTCTCTCATACATGGAAAAAGTAGCGCTTTTGCTAGAAAATGACTTAAAACCCCCAAACATTTATAAAATATATATATATATATATATATATATATATATATATTTTTTTTTTTTTTTTTTTTAAACAAAGACCCTAGAGCAGTGGTTCTTAACCTTGTTGGAGGTACTGAACCCCACCAGTTTCAATTGTGCATTCACCGAACCCTTCTTAATTGGAAAAATAAAATATGATTTTTAAAATTCAAAACATAGGTATATATTTAGGTATATATTTATACATAGGTGCACAAAATGAACAAAACCGTTAAGAACAAAGAACAAATTAAAACATGATTTTCACACAAAACAAAAACATAATAATGAATATTTACTGCACGAATCATATGAGTCGGGTGTGGGTCTTCACCTCCGCCGAACCCGCGAGACTGACTCACCGAACCCCTGGGGTTCGATCGAACCCAGGTTAAGAACCACTGCCCTAGAGAATAAACTGGCTGTTTGGTTGTTGTTGCAGTTTTTTTTTATGTTGCAGGATACTTGAGCACGGTTTATCAAACTCAAATTTTCATGAATTAATACACTTTACTGAGTCACAGTGAACACAAAAACAATATAATACCCAATTTTTTGGTAAAACAAAAAAGATGATGTTAGGCCAAGTACATAGATACCTAACATGTCACGCTTTAAAATTGTATATGCCCGTGGAATGGCACTAAATTGCAGTACCTAAAAATCTCCATAGGCAATGCTTTAAAAGCCTTTACAGGTAACAGGTTTAGAATTTCACAGGAGGTCTGTAGCTAGAATTATTGCTCTAACTCTTATGTTTTCAGAAATACCTCATATGTGTGGTGCAATCGCCATTTACACATGCATGTTTGACTGATGCTCGTGTTCACCTTTGTGCGTGAGCACAGGGGAATGAGAGCACTTTAAAACTTTTTTTTATTTTATTATTTACATTTTTTAATTTTTTTAACACTGTACTATTAAATTTTTTTTGGGATTCACTTTTTTTGCTTTTGCAAGGGATTACCAACATCAGGAAGGAAAGAAGTCCCAGGAGCCGCATATCTGCCAACATTCACCAGATATTGGTCTTTTTCTCAGTTGAGCAGCAGTCAATGAGGTGTTTATCTCTCCATTGGTGGAATCTCTATTCCCATGGCTAAGCCACATGGGCGGAGTGAAACGTATTAGGGGTGTGGCCTGGACAGAGTCTAGACTGAGGCTACTTCCACTTACATGAGGGTTTTGTGTGGTGTGTATGGCTTTCCTTCCTCATTGAAGTTTTCCTCAAGTTTTTTTCCATTTGGAAGAAGTCACAAGAAGCGACTAAACACATCAGGGTGGAGCCATCACGCTACTAGGAAGAGTGTTTTACACAGAGATGAGGGCTTGGTGATCCTACTATCTTATTCTTAAAGGGGATACTATTTGATTATACAGCTATTCCCTTCTTAAAGTGATGCACTACTGTTTAATAGTCCATTTGTTTTGTGAGCGCATTTTCATTGGTTTAATAAATGGTTTATGGTGCTTCTACATGGTAAAACAGTATGTGCAGTTTTTGTCTTATCTGTGACTATGGTGGAGAGATATATTTCTGGGCGGTCTGGTTCCATGGATGTACCTGCAAGGAAGAATTGAAGGAAGGATAAGAAACATTTGCTCAACTATTTAGAGCTTAGTGACCTTCATATACAGAGAGGAACAGAAGTATTTGAACACCCTGCGATTTTGCAAGTTCTCCCACTTAGAAATCATGGAGGGGTCTGAAATTCACATTGTAGGTGCATTCCCACTCTGAGAGACAGAATTTAAAAAAAAATTCAGGAAATCACATTGTATGATTTTTAAAGAATTTATTTGTCTTGCACTGCTGAACATAAGTATTTGAACACCTAAGAAACAGCAAGAATTCTGGCTCTCAAAACCTGTTACTGTGCCTTTAAAAAGTCCACCTCTACTCCACTCATTAATCTAATTTAGTAGCACTGTCTGAGCTCTTTAAAGACACCTGTCCACCCCACAGTCAGTCAAACGCCAACTACTACCATGGGCAAGACAAAGAGCTGTCAAAAGACACCAGAGACAAAATTGTGCATCTCCACAAGGCTGGAAAGGGCTATGGGGCAATTGCCAAGCTGCTTGGTGAAAATAGATCAACTGTTGGAGCAATTGTTAGAAAATGGAAGAGGCTAAAGACGACTGTCAGTCTCCCTCGGACTGATGCAGTCTCCTCAGAGGATTGGTTCCAGGTAATTGCCCTCCCTCGGACTGGGGCTCCATGCAAGATCTCACCTCGTGGGGTATCACTGATGATAAGAAAGGTGAGGAATCAGCCCAGAACTACAAGGGAGGAGCTGGTCAATGAAATGAAGAGAGCTGGGACCACAGTTTCAAAGGTCACTGTCGGTAGAACACTACGCCGTCATGGTTTCAAATCATGCATTGCACGGAAGGTTCCCCTGCTCAAGTCATCACATGTCCAGGCCCATCAGAAGTTTGCCAATGACCATCTGGATGATCCAGAGGAGGCATGGGAGAAAGTCATGTGTTCAGATGAGACCAAATTAGAACTTTTTTTGGTCTAAACTTCACTCGTCGTGTTTGGAGGAAAAAGAAGGATGAGTTGCATCCCAAGAACACCATCCCTACTGTGAAGCATGGGGGTGGTAATATCATGCTTTGGGGGTGCTTTTCTGCGAAGGGGACAGGACGACTGCACTGTATTAAGGAGATGATGAATGGGGCCATTTATTGTGAGATTTTGAGCAACAACCTCCTTCCCTCAGTCAAAGCATTGAAGATGGGTCGTGGCTGGGTCTTCCAACATGACAACGACCCAAAGCACACAGCCAGGATAACCAAGGAGTGGCTTCGTAAGAAGCATATCAAGGTTCTGGAGTGGCCTAGCCAGTCTCCAGACCTAAATCCAATAGAACATCTTTGGAGCTGAAACTCCGTGTTGCTCAGCGATAGCCCCGAAACCTGACAGATCTAGAGGAGATCTGTGTGGAGGAGTGGGCCAAAATCCCTGTTGCAGTGCAAACCTGGTCAAGAACTACAGGAAACGTTTGACCTCTGTAATTGCAAACAAAGGCTTCTGTACCAAATATTAACACACTGATTTTCTCAGGTGTTCAAATACTTATGTTCAGCAGTGCAAGACAAATACATTCTTTAAAAAATCATACAATGTGATTTCCTGAATTTTTTTTTTAAATTCTGTCTCAGAGTGGTAATGCACCTACAATGTGAATTTCAGACCCCTCCATGATTTCTAAGTGGGAGAACTTGCAGAATCGCAGGGTGTTCAAATACTTCTGTTCCTCACTGTAGGTTTTAAATTAAGGTGAGAGCAAAGAGTGAACGGTGGTGGGCATCACTGAAGAAACACCATTTGTATTTGTATACACATTGGGACTGTTATATTTGAAGATGTGGACTTGGACTGGGTGAATTCTTAGTCTAACACTAGACATGGTTATTATCACAGAGGTGGTGGAACCCTCTAGTGGCAGCACTATTTATTTATTTTTATTTATTTATTATTTCAGGTACTTATATAGCACTGTCAATTTACACAGCACTTTACGCATATATATTTGTACATTCACATCAGTCCCTAACCCTCAAGGGGTGTACAATCTAAGGTCCCTAACTCACATTCATACATACACATATTAGGGCCAATTTAGACAGGATCCAATTAACCTACCAGCATGTCTTTTGAATAAACTATAGTTTATTTTGCAAATTTTGTGTGTCACAATATAGACACAATCACATTATACATATGTTTTGATGATTCTGTAGTCTAATTTTTCATTACATAGCAACATCACAGGGGTGGTGACAGTCTCTAAAAGTTAATTGTTTTTTTTTAATTCGGTCATATGATATATATGTAATTTAAGATTCAGCTATGCACATGTTGAATGTTTCTCACTATACTAGTGTCACTGGTTTAGGATATATTATTTATTATAATTTTTGATACATTAATAAAGCGCAGCACTGTTTTTTTTTTAAAGTTTTTTGTTTGTGAGGTCACCTTCCGTGCACTGCAGCAACTTTAAAACACTGGAAGGATTAACACAAAAAAAGTTATAATTATCAAGGTTGCACAGAGAATACATATTTTTAATACAGCATCTCATATATTACAAAAAAATATATTACAATAAAAAATTAAGGCTGGCCATTTATGGTAAAAGTTTTCACATGAAATACATATTTATCTTAACTGGTTTAATTACAAAGCAACAATCCCTTATTATATCATTATCCCTTAGCAAATATTCAAATATATAAAGCAAAATGTAATGGTTTCAGGTCGTTTAAAAAAAAAATTTCTATGGTATGTTTTAAAACTGATATTTTATTTATCTTTTATCAATGTATATATAATCTTTATGTTACAAATAAACATATCATACATGGTGCAGCTGTGAGTTACAGGGATGGCAGGGAGAGAATGCAGGGTTAGAGAACCACTCCCCTGAATCATTTAGCTGTGTGTGAATTGGAGCTTGAGCTACTGAGCTCAGTAAACATGCTTTGTTTTCCAGAAAAGGCATTAACATTTGATAACTATGTGAACAAAATTACAGCACTCCATCAGGAAATAATATAGATATACAGTGTCTTGAAAAAGTATTCATACCCCTTGAAATTCTCCACATTTTGTCATGTTACAACCAAAAACGTAAATTTATTTTATTGGAATTATATATGATAGACCAACATAAAGTGGCACATAATTGTGAAGTGGAATGAAAATGATAAAAGTTTTTAAAATTTTTTTTTTGACAAATATCTGAAAAGTGTGGCGTGCATTTGTATTCAGTCCCCTCTACTCTGATACCCCTAACAAAAAATCTAGTGGAACCAATTGCCTTCAGAAGTCACCTAATTAGTAAATAGAGTCCACCTGTGTGTAATTTAATCTCAGTATAAATACAGCTGTTCTGTGAAGCCCTCAGAGTTTTGTTAAAGAACATTAGTAAACAAATGGCATCATGAAGGAACACATCAGACAGGTCAGGGATAAAAGCTGTGGAGAAGTTTAAAGCAGGGTTAGGTTATAAAAAAATATGCCAAGCTTTGAACATCTCACGGAGCACTGTTCAATCCATCATCCGAAAATGGAAAGAGTATGGCACAACTGCAAACCTACCAAGACATGGCCGTCCACCTAAACTGACAGCCCGGGCAAGGAGAGCATTAATCAGAGAAGCAGCCAAGAGGTCCATGGTAACTCTGGAGGAGCTGCAGAGATCCACAGCTCAGATGGTTTGAATCTGTCCACAGGACAAAGTATTAGTCGTATTCACTCCACAAATCTGGCCTTTATGGAAGAGTGGCAAGAAGAAAGCCATTGTTGGAAGAAAGCCATAAGAAGTCCTGTTTGCATTTCATCGCGAGAAGCCACGTGGGAGACACAGCAAACATGCACCTGTAGGATGTTACTGTACAAAAGTAATTTAATATAATTATATATATATATATATATATATATAATTATAATATAATTTTATGTTTTACTTTTGGTATTTTGTTTTGATTTATTTGTAGAATGTGTACAGTATCAGTGGGAGAGGATCTTCGTGGTATAGGCCATCGTGTCTCCAGGTCACCGGCAGTTATTCCTTGTAATTGAGAATGTATCTACATCTCTGGATTGTGTAATTAATATTACATTTACATCAGGGAACAATATATTTTTTTTATAAAGAACTCTTCCAATGGTGTCTGTGAGGGTAAATTCATTAAGAGATAAATAGTGCATGAAGTTTTGTTGCAAAATATCTCATGTGATATTTATCTCACAAGTAGTCTGTTTCCACAAAAAACATGCCTTATTTAACCATTTCAATACCGGGCAATTTTCCACCTTCCTGCCCAGGCCAGTTTTCAGGTTTCAGCGCTCTCACACTTTGAATGACAATTGCGCGGTCATACAACATTGTACCCAAACTAAAATTTTATCATTTTCTTCACACAACTAGAGCTTTCTTTTGGTGGTATTTAAAATCACCGCTGGGCATTTTTTATTTTTTGCTAAATTAACAAAAAAAGACCAAAAATTTTGAAAAAAACACGTTTTTCTTTGTTTCTGTTATAAAAGTTTGCAAATAAATAATTGTTCTTCATAAATTTAGGCCAAGATGTATTCTACTACATGTCTTTGGTGAAAAAGCTAACCCAAATTAGGATGTATTTTTTTAGTTTGTAGGAAGGTTATAGAGTTCACAAACTATGGTATAGATCTGAATATGATCAATGCCGGGCTGAAGTACTGACAGCCAATCTAATTCTCTTGAGGTCCACAGAATGTCAGAACAGTACAGGACAACTATATCCCCCAAATGACCCCTTTTTGCAGAGTAGACAGTCCGACGTACTTCATAAGAGAGCATGGCGAGTTTTTTGAAGTTGTGTAGGATTTTTTTTGTCATAATTTTTCGGAAAATATAAAAATTATAAAGAAATTAGTTTCACTTTTGGTATTTTTTTTTGATACTGTACCAGTGCAGTACAGTGTCATCATATAACTGGCATGGCGGTGATCAGGGACACTGACTGGATCGTGACAGTTAATATTACAAAAAAAAATATATTTTTTTTAAAGAACTCTTCCATTTTTGTTAAATTATTTTTATGTATGAATTTTTTTCTTTTTTTTATCTCAAGATTTTTTTTTCATATTTCACTTTCATGACCAAAGTAGTACAATGTTACCATAGTAACATTGTACTACTTTGGGGAAGTGACAGTATTACAACATTTACCCAAAACTAAAATTTTTCATTTTTCTTCACAATTTCTTTTGGTGGTATTTAATCACCGCTGGGGTTTTATTTTTTGCTAAATTAACAAGCATTTACCTACCAAAAATTTTGATTCATTCACGTTTTTTCTTTGTTTTGTTATAAAAGTTTGCTTAGCTTAATGTTCTTTGGCCACAGCTAATCACAAGATGACATGTGCATGTGATCGCTGTGACCATTCACAGGCTAGGCACTAGTATACAATGGATGGCATGAATAGAGCCAAACATTGTATAGATCTGTATTGACCAATGCTGTGATTGTACTGACAGCCTATCTAATATCTTGAGGTCCACGAATGTCAGAACAGTACAGATATCATCCCCAAATGTTTTTGCAGAGTAGACAGGCCCGATGTACATAAGAGGCATGGCGAGTTTTTTTGAAGGTATTTTTTTTTTTGTCAAATTTTTCGGAAAATGAAAAAATTAAAGAAATTAGTTTCCACTATTTTTTTTTTACATACTTCCGTGCAGTACAGCGTCATCATATAACGGCCATGGCGGTGATCAGGGACACTGACTGGTGACAGTATGAAAAAAAAATATTTTTTTTTCATTTTTTTATTGATTAAATTTTTTTTCTTTTTTTAAGATTTTTTTTTTATTTTTCAAGTGTAGTTGTTACCATAGTAACAAGTGTACTTTTTGGGGAAACATCGATTTTCAGGTTTTTTTTTTTTTTTGGTGCTTAATTTGGCCACAGCTAATCCAGACATGTGATTGTTCGCTGTGACCAAAGCTAGGCACTAGTATACAATGGATGGCATGAATCAGGAATCAATATTCAATCTAACATAGTTTAGACTCTCATAACTTTCCTACAAACTAAATAATACATCCTAATTTGAGTCACCAAAGACAAGCAGAATACATCTCGTGTATGGGTGTACATGTAATTAATTTGGGCCGTTTTATAACAGAAACAAAGAAAAATGTGGTTTTTTTTCAAAATTTTTGAGTTTTTTTGTTACGTTAGCAAAAAATAAAAACCCCAGCGATTAAATACAAATTTCAAGAGCTGGTGTGAAAAAATGATTTTTAGTTTGGGTACAGTGTTGTATGACCGCACAATTGTCATTCAAAGTGTGAGAGCGCCCCCTGGGCAGGAAGGTGCACGGTATTGAAATGGTTAACTAATGCCTGGAAATCTTTTACATAGAAATATTTGACAGTATGCCTGAACCATCCTAGGACAGCCGGCTTCACTTCGTCATCATTGTGTTTACCGTTCCCACAGAAAGATTTGTCTCTTGTGCAATTTCACGACAGGCTATGCGTTGTATATCCATATAATTGGATCAGGTGTTCCACATGCTGAATGTTCACAGGAATGACTGCTGTGGGCTGGGAACCATCACGGCCCGGGATCCTCACTGACGGACATACGGCCATCTTGAAACATTTACACCATTTAAATGTATTACTGCAGCAGGGGCGGACTGACAACTCATGGGGCCCCCGGGTAATAGGGGATCATGGGGCCCCTTGTCCTTGCCCAAACTCAAAAAAGCCTATGAAAAAGATACCAGGGGCATCTAATGGGGCCCCCTACTGACCCCGGGCCCTCAGGCAGTGCCCCAGTTTCCAAATGGTACGTCCGCCCCTGTACTGCAGCTGAGCGTCTCATCACTGTACTGTGCTTGAAGTCTTCTGTAGATATCTGTCGGTTTTACACCTTCGTTCACAAGAAACTTCATCACCACACGCTGTTCCATGCACGCACCAACACTGTTGTCTGCCATCTTGATTAACGGTCTCTGGACTGGCCTGCGGCATGTATCAGTAATAGGACACACTTTCCACTTATTACTGCATGTAGTACTGCTACGCTAGCATCCCTTTTTATACCTGTAAAATGGAAAGTCCTGATCTGACTTGAATGCTCCTTATACATCTGTTTTGGTGTCTGGGAGCCACAGCTGCAGTGTATTTTAGCCCATAGCATTACAGAAAATGCATTGCATGCAAAACTGCTAGTGGTTATGCACACATGGGGGTTTATTTACTAAAGCTGGAGAGTCCAAAATCAGACTCCCTTCTGCATAGAAACCAATCATTCTAACCTCAGCAATGGTGTCTTGCAGAAGGGAGTCTGATTTTGGACTTTAGTAAATAAACCCCATGGTGTCATATTGCAGCTAAACTTGAAGCTGAATGGTTTCTATGCAGAAGGGAGTCTGATTTTGGACCTATGGGGGCTGTGCTCTACACAGCTGTTGAATTTTGATATGCCCCTGAGGCTTCCATTGGTTGCTAGCACACAGCCGGGAGCAGATAAAACACACATCTCCTGCATGCAGAACGGGTGCTAGCATCTGAAAGAGGCCTAAAACTGGGTTCACACTGGCAGTTTTTTTTTCATTCAGCCAGTGGGCTAAACGGACAAAAGACAACAGATTCCTGCACCCACACCAGCAAGATAGATACAGGAATCCCCCACGCCACTGTCAAAATACACTGATCAACACCGCAGCCAATCGGCTGCAAGCTGCTGATCAAAGAAGGTTTTTCGTCAGGACTGTTCAGCAGAATCTGATCAGAATCTGATTGGCTTCTGTCAAACGGGAAGGGCTACATACAAATTGAAATTTGTCCGGTCCCTTCTGTCCTGGCTATATTTTACCCAAGTGTATCCAGCTTTAGTGTGCCTTCATTCACAGAATGCTGTCTCTCTAGTGCAGTGGTCTCCAAACTGCGGATGGCCTTTTGCTTGCTTTTATCTGGCCCTTGGAGCACTACTTCATTCACTGACACCAACGTAGGGGCACAATTGCTCCCAATGACAACAACGATGGGATACAATTCCTCCCAATGACACCAATGATGGGGCACAGTTCCTCCCAATGACACAACAATGAGGCCCAATAACACCAGAGACGGGGCATATTGTTTCCAATGGCACTAGTGATGGGGCACAATTCCTCACATTGACACCAACAATGGTGCCCAATGACGCCAATGTTGGGGCACAATTCCTACCAATAAATATCACAATGGTGCCGCGCTCTCCTAATTGTTATTAATTAAATATCATAAAAAATTATTTTAACCACTTGCCGCCCAGCCACCGCATATAAAACGGTGGCAGGGCGGCACTCGTAGGCAAAACCACGTTTTAAAACGTGGTTCTGCAAAACAGGTAGGGGGCGCGCGCGAGGCCCTAACTGTACCGCGGGTGTCAGCAGCGGGTATCAGCCGCCGGGTCACGGCCGGTTTTTAGCGGCCGTTTTCCCGCGATTGATGGTGATCGCTGACACAGAGCAGGGCTGCATTGTTTACACACAGCCCTGTTCTGTGTCAGTTCTCTGACAGCTCGTGACAAGCTGCAGAGTTTCTCTCCCTTGATCAGCTCCCCCCTCCCTCCCCCCCCGTCCAGTGCACACCCCCCGCCCCCTAGTAAAACACTCCCCTTACACAGCAAATTCTAAAAATGTTAACCCCTTCCTCCCCAGTGACATTAGTACAGTTTCAGTGTTTTTTTTTCACTGATCACTGCATTGGTGTCACTGGGGATGTCAGTGACCCCAAGTCAGTTCCCCCCCCAGTGTCAAAATGTCTGCCGCAGTCCCGCCATAAGTCGCTGGTCGCCGCCATATGTCGCTGATTGCCGCCATAATGCCGCTGATCGGCGCCATTATTAGTATAAATAAAAAATTAAAAATCCCAGTATCTTTCCCGCCATTTGTAAACGCTATAACCTTCACGTAAACCAATTAATTTACATGTATTGGGATTTTTTTTAGCAAAGACATGTCGCAGAATGCATTTTGGCAGAAATTTATGACTAAATTTGATTTTTGCATTTTTTTTTACTGGACATGTTTTATAGCAAAAAGTCCAAAATATTGTTTTTTTTTCCCTCAAAATTGTCAGCCTTTTTTTTTATAGCGCAAAAAATAAAAAACGCACAGGCAATCAAATACCCCCGAAAGAAAGCTCAATTTGTGGGGAAAAAAAGGATGTAAATTTAATTTATGTACCGTATTGCATGACCGCGCAATTGTCCGTTAAACTAGCGCAGTGCTGTATAGCAGAAAAATGGCGTAAATTGCAGTATTTATACCATAGTTTGTAGATGCTATAAACTTCCACGCAAAGCAATCAATATACACTTATTGGGATTTTTTTTACCAAAAACATGGAGCAGAATACATTTTGGCCTAAATTTATAACCAACTTTGAGTTTACTATATATTTATTTATAGCTGAAAGTAAAAAATATAGTTTTTCTTCAAAATTTTTGGCCTTTTTTTGTTTATAGCGTGAAAAATAAAAAGCGCACAGGTGATCAAATTACACCGAAAGAAAGCTCTATTTGTGTGAAAAAAAGGACGTAAATTTCATTTGGGTGCAGCATTGCATGACCGCGCAATTATCAGTTGAACTAGTGCAGTGCCGAGTAGCAAAAAGAGGCCTGGTCATTAAGGGGGGTAAATCCTCAGGAGGGCAACTGAGACCGAACAATGCAGAAGAGCTGAAGGCCGCTATTGAAGCATTCTTGTCTTCCATAACACCTCAGCAGTGCCACAGGCTGATAGCTTCCATGCCACGCCAAATTGAGGCAGTAATTGCTGCAAAAGGGGCCCAAACCAAGTACTGAGTACATATGTATGCTTACACTTTTCAGAGGTCTGATATTGTTCTATGTACAATCCTTGTTTTATTGATTGCATGTAATATTCTAATGTTTTGAGTTTGGGATTTGGGGTTTTCATGAGCTGTGAGACATAATCATCACAATTATGACAAATCACGACTTGAACTATCTTGCTTTGCATGTAATGAGTCTATCTCATATATTAGTTTCACCTTTTAAGTTGCATTACTGAAATAAATGAACTTTTGCACGATATTCTAATTTTTTGAGTTTCATCTGTATGTCTGCTGCAATGGAGTCTGTCAGGAAAAGGGTAATAGTTCACCAGGTATGTAAGTCATTGAAGCTCATCTACAACACTTAGCCAAAACTTCAAAGCATTTTTATATTATAAGTAACTCATTCACAGAAAAGTAACTTTAAGTCATTTCAATGTATGCATCAGAAAGGCAAAGAGCTACTTGAAATGCTATGTTGTTAGCTTTTTCTGTTTCACTCACCCCATTTCACACTGAGAGTCTCATCCCCCAGACTGCTGTGGTCCACATGACAGGAGTAAGTGTCTCCCTCCTTGGTTGGCACTTCCACACTGACTCTGATCTGATAGGTGCCATCAGGATGGGGGAGAATTGGAGTCATTTCATCTGAAGGAACATGGTCCTCCCCATTCCTCATCCACTTCACATCCACAGGTCGGGGGTGAAACCCGTACACCAGGCACTGAAGTCTGGTCACACCATCGGACTGACGACGGCCCCACACCTTCACCTCTGGGCGCACTGAAGAAAAAAAGAAAAAAGAAATAAGGTATGATAGAGAAATATAAGGGAACAATACATGGACATATATTTTGTCTAATCTAATTTGCAGATTCTCAAAGACAGGCAAATGAAGGAATAACATCATACTATAGCTCCTTAATATTATTCCTTTGGTTCACACATTGAGAGAGGAAGATTTGTATTATCTGTGTATTCATATATTCATCCGAATATTCATCTCTCAGCACACAACAATTTCAAGATCACAAAAGAAAAAATGTTCTCATTGAGGACAACAAAAAGGGTCCATCTAGCAGTGATGAAAAAATGGAACAGAAGCACCGTCCATCCACTATTGATGATCATATGTCCCATAAAGACATTGTTATTATAAAAATAATCAGCAAAGAGGTTGTATGAAATACCATGTGTAGCGCCCCTCTAGATAGTCAGGGGAAGCTAAAGTTCAATTTTCAGTTAAGAGGGCTGAATAGCAGCCTGGGAGTGATGGTTAGTCGGGTCGAGTTTTGGTCAAAGCTGAGAGGCTCTGCAGGTCAGTTCCTAGATACCTCCCCCTGCTCTAGAATCTTGGAGAAGATTCTAGAATCAGTGGGCAGGGGTGAGGAAGGGCTGGCCTGCACACTTGGAGGACCTTGGCTAATCCCCAAGCAGGAGGCTTGGCATGAGGTCAGGGCAGCCTTCACATGTGGTGGAGCCTGCTCAGTAGTAGGAGAGTTTGAGTGGAAGATGAAGTGAGAGAGAGGCTGAAGAGCAGGAGCCTGGGAATGGTGACCAGTTGAGAAGGGGCTCACCTCCAGGCAGTGGAGCTGGAAAAGAAGAAAGCTCAGGACCTCATCGGTTCTCAGAGCGAGAACCACCTATATAACAAGGAAGGAGCTGCCCAGAGGACGGCCTGGAAGCAGCCACCGACCCAGCTGCTCAGGAGGACTGAGTGAGTAGCCCTACACCCCCTGGTCCATTAAGGGGTAAGAGCACTCTAATGGGAAACTGTATTAACTTTCTACCCAGGACTAGCTTACATTTAAAGTGGCATGCACTGGATCCCCTGCCCAGGAAATCCTTCAGACAGCTGGATAGAGGAGTATCTGGGGTGATACACTAGAAGAAGTTTGCTAGCTCTCCAGAAGAGAACTTTGCTGTTTAAAGAGATTTGTACATGGTTCCAGGAAGAATGTCCTCAGCTGCTGCTCCCTTGGGCATTCCATACACCCCTTACCCCATTCAAGTTATTCATCCCCTAATAAAAAATAAAAAAAAAAACAAGCTCAAGGACTGGTTGCTGTCTCCTGGACGCATGTCTGTGTGGAAGATGCATGTTTGCCTGACTGTGCAGAACTATAGGAGGACCCAAAACTTCAGCAACTCCTAAGAGGGTAGTGCTACACATGTTCCTTTCCCCCCTTTGAATCCATAATACAGTATCTCAAGGAAGTGAGTACACCTCTCACATTTTTGCAAATATTTTATATATCTTTTCATGTGACAACACTGAAGAAATTACACTTTGCTACAATGTAAAGCAGTGAGTGTACAGCTTGTATAACATGTAAATTTGCTGTCCCCTCAAAATAACTCAACACACAGCCATTAATGTCTAAACCGCTGGCAACAAAAGTGAGTACACCCCTAAGTGACAAGGTCCAAATTGGGCCCAAAGTGTCAATATTTTGTGTGGCCACCATTATTTTCCAGCACTGCCTTAACCCTCTTGGGCATGGAGTTCACCAGAGCTTCACAGGTTGCCACTGGAGTCCTCTTCCACTCCTCCATGACTTCATCACGGAGCTGGTGGATGTTAGAGACCTTGCACTCCTCCGCATTTTGTTTGAGTATGACCCACAGATGCTCAATAGGGTTTAGGTCTGGAGAAATGCTTGGCCAGTCCATCACCTTTACCCTCAGCTTCTTTAGCAAGGCAGTGGTCGTCTTGGAGGTGTGTTTGGGATCGTTATGTTGGAATACTGCCCTGCAGCCCTGAGGGGATCATGCTCTGCTTCAGTATATCACAGTACATGTTGGCATTCATGGTTCCTACAATGCTGGCAGCACTCATGCAGTGCCAGACCATGACACTCCCACCACCATGCTTGACTGTAGGCAAGACACACTTGTCTTTGTACTCCTCACCTGGTTGCCGTTACACATGCTTGATACCATCTGAACCAAATCAGTTTATCTTGGTCTCATCAGACCACAGGACATGGTTCCAGTAATCCATGTCCTTAGTCTGCTTGTCTTCAGCAAACTGTGGGCTTTCTTGTGCATCATCTTTAGAAGAGGCTTCCTTCTGGGACGACAGCCATGAAGACCAATTTGATGCAGTGTGCGGTGTACGGTCTGAGCACTGACAGTCTGACTCCCCCACCCCTTCAACCTCTGCAGCAATGCTGGCAGCACTCATACGTCTATTCTCAAAGACAACTTCTGGATATGACGCTGAGCACTCAACTTCTTTGGTTGACCATGGCGAAGCCTGTTCTGAACGGAACCTGTCCTGTTACACCGCTCTATGGTCTTGGCCACTGTGCTGCAGCTCAGTTTCAGGGTCTTGGCAGTCTTTTTATAGCCTAGGTCATCTTTATGTAGAGCAACAATTCTTTTTTTCAGATACTCAGAGAGTTATTTGCCATGAGGTGCCATGCTGAACTTCCAGTGACCAGTATGAGAGAGTGAGAGTGAAAACACAAAATTTAACACAACTGCTCCCCATTCACACCTGAGACCTTTTAACACTAATGAATCACATGACACCGGGAGGGAAAATGGCTAAATGGGCCCAATTTGGACATTTTCACTTAGGGGTGTACTCACTTTTGTTGCCAGCGGATTAGACATTAATGGCTGTGTGTTGAGTTATTTTGAGGGGACAAGCAAATTTACACTGTTATACAAGCTGTACACTGACTACGTCACATTGTAGCAAAGTGTCATTTCTTCAGTGTTGTCACATGAAAAGATATAATAAAATATTTACAAAAATGTAAGGGATGTACTCACTTCTGTGAGATACTGTATGTCATCAGTTTGTGGAATTAGCAATGGTTATGCTTCTCAAGAAAAAAAAAAAAAAAAAACTGTGGCTGTATATATGTAACATTGTATTGGAAATACCACACTACTGTTCCTAGTTAGAAGCTTTAGTACAGTACAGTGTACAGTAAGTACAATTTCTCAATTTGACTAGCTATTAGCGTGCAAAAGTCTTTTAGTAGAGCAAATCTCTAAAATATCAAAAATATATGATATGTAGCTCTATCCTTTGTAATGGCAACAGGGAAGCAACCAAATGTAGCACTACTCCCTTAGGATATGCTGAATTTTTGGATCTCCCTACAGTCCTGCACAGCCAGGCAACATGCATTTTCACAAACGTGCATCCAGGAGTCAGTAATCAGTCCTTGAGGTTTATTTTTGTAATGTTATTAGGAGAATTGAACTTGGATGGGGTAAGGGGTGTACGGGATGCCCAAAAGAACTGAGGGACTGGGACAACTCCCTGATCTTTGTACAAGTGAGTGCAGCACAGTCTTTTCTGGAGAGCTAGCCAGCATCTCCTGTAGTACCACCCCTGACCCCAATGTTCCTCTGGCTGCATAGAGGAATCCCTGAGCAGGGGATCCAGTAGCTGTCACTTTAATTAACAAGACAGTCCCGGGTGGTGGCTAATCTGGTTTCCCACTAGAGTGCTCCTTCCCCTATGTGGCCCAGGGGGTGCAGGTCTACTCACTCAGTCCTTCTCGAGTGTTGCTAATGGGTTGGTGGCTGCTACCAGGCCTTTTAGCTGGGCCGTTCCTTCCCTGCCTCACAGGTGGTTCTCTCTCAGGGGGCTGGTGAAGTCCCACACTTTCCCCCTTCTAATTTCCTCTGCTTGTAGTGAGCCCCTCTCCATCTGGGCCCCCTCATAGGCTCCTGCCTCTAACCTCACATCCTCTCTATCTTCTATCTGAACCAGGGGAGGACGGACTATTTGGAAACTCGGGCACTGCCTGGTACCCTTTTGATAGGCTTTTTTGAGTTTGGGCAAGGACACAGGGGCCCCATGATCCCCTATTGCCCGGGGGCCCCATGAGTTGTCAGTCCGCCCCTGATCTGAACTCTCCTCCAACTCTCCTGCAGTTGAGCAGACTCAGTTACTCCTAAAAGCTGTCCTGGCCCCCTGCCAAGCCTCCTGTTGGGGATTGGCCAGGATCCTATAAGAGTATAGACCAGCCACTCCTCAAATCTAACTACTGCTTCTAGATCTTTCTCCAAAGTTCTAGAACGTGGAAATTCCAAAGGACTTGTCTGCAGAGCTTCTCAGCTATGACCCAAATTTGACCCCTGCTAGCTATCACACCCAGGCTGCTACTCAGCCTTACTAGCTTACAATGGAACTAGAGCTCCCCCTAGATAACTAGGAGGGTGCTACACATATATCAATGTGATTTTAGAATTGCCAACCCAAATGTCTGAAGGTTCCATTGGGGAAATTTTCTTTTTTTTTTCCTGGGTTTCGACAATTTAAGTATCACAGTCATCCAGAAGAGTCATTTTTTATATTTGAGCTGACCATTGCTAATCACATTGTTTGTTAGTTATATTTAACTGGACATGTTCTGTAATGTTAAAGACATTTTGTAGCTTATCCAAGCCAATTCTTCAGTTCTAATGAGTGTCAGGAAAATTATTTGCATTCCTCACTGCACTGCACTGCATATACAAAGTTACTTTGCTTGTGTTTGGGTGTTGGGTCTTTTGAAAGTACAAGTTCCTGTCTCTTTGTATTCCTGAGATTGAAAGACTCAGAGATGTGATGTTTGTTAAAGTGTTACTGAACCCAGTATTCACTATATCTGGTCTCCCACAGTACACAGAACATGTAAACGTAATCATTTTAGTAAATATAGACTGCTAAATACCTTTCCTCATCAGTAGTATATGGTAGTCTTGTGATTCTATCAGTGTCCAGCTGAGCACTGGCTAAAGCTTGTAAGATGTAAGAGGGAGTTTTCATTCTC